CCGATGTCCCACATCTTTTTCCACAATCCATTGCGCCATACGGTGTCGTAGGCTTTTTGTATATCGAGGAAGAAACAGTATGTCGTACGCCCGGCGTCTTTCCTACCTTGGATGATTTTACTCAACGTATATACATGGTCTACACAACTACGATCTGGTCTAAATCCAGCTTGTCCTTCGCTGATCTTTTGTTTCCCCTCCAACATGTCTCCCATTCTATTGTCTATCATCTTGCCAAACAGTTTCCCCACTGTGCTCAACAGGGTTATCCCTCTATAATTCCCCGGGTCAGCTTTATCCCCCTTTTTGAACAGGTTCACGACTACTCCTTCTCTCCATCTCTTCGGCGCGTACTCGTGTTTCCATATCCAGTTGAATATCCGGACCAACATGTTAATCATCCCCTCCCCCCCCTGTTTCAAAAGCTCGTTCACAATTCCATCAGCCCCTGCCGCTTTTCTATTCTTGAGTTTCGCTACGCAGTCCTCTACCTCTTCTCGTGTGAACTCTCCCTGCAACCCGTCTACATCACTACGTTCCCTCTGAGATCTTTCAACGTTTTCCTCTGCCCACGAGTTGATTTCCTTCTCAAACTCCGAGTCGAAGTTGTCGTTGGTGGTGGGTGTCCCAAGTTTGCGGTAGTAGTGCTCTACTAGTACTTCCCTCTTTCCTTTAGAACTGCTTACCATCTTACCCTCGGCAGATCTTAGTGTCGTTATTTCCGTGTCTCCCCCTCTTTTGTTGCCCACTATCCCTTGAATTCCTACCCACATTTGCTTCATCCCCCCCTCAAAATCTTCGTTAGTCTTTCGGACTACTTCCTCCCACAACCCTTTCTTCTTCTTCACGACCAACTCCTTCACCCTCTTTCTACTTTCAACATACTCCTTCCATCCTGCATCTGTTTTCCCTGCCGCATATTTTGCGTGTGACTCTCTACGTACTCGAATTGCTTGCTTGATTTCTTCGTCCCACCACTTCACTGCTCTCTTACAAACTATCAACTTTCTACCTAGAACTCTGCTTGCTGTTGTGTTTACCAGCTCTTCCCACCTTTCTATGATTCTAGACCCGGCCTGGTCCCGGCCGTCGGCATCCTTCGGTGTACCCATTGCCTCCATCAACTCCGAGAGTTTCTTGTCGTTTATAGCCATCTCTTCTTGGAACTCTACCCTCGTTTCTTCTACTTCTAGCTTATCTATTCTCCATCTGTACGTTTTCCTGCGTCGCCTACTCTGTATGACTCTCTTCTGTTGTAGGGCTGTCCACACCAACGCGTGGTCTGTAGTGCCTACATCCGTTGTGCATACTCGTACTTCCGTCTCTTTCCCCCCATTCTCTACGACTATATAGTCAAGGATGGAGCGTTCTCCTTTTTTGAAACATTGCCTAGTCCATTCCGGTTATGTCTTTCGTACTCTACCGTTCAACACCTTCATCTCGCTACTGTCAAGGAACCTCAGCATTTCTTCCCCGTTTTTGTTCGTGGCTCCCTCCCCGTATTGCCCTATGGTTCCGTGTGGGTTCGTGGTTCGCCCGATTCTTGAATTGAAGTCCCCAACTAGAACTACTTCTCCCTTTCTCTTGAAGTTTTGTACATCCGCTGCTACCTCCTCGAAACCTATCCTGATGTCTTTCACCATATTCTTCGACTCTGGTGGCATATATTCATTTCCTACGAACAAGTCCTTTCTTCCCCGTTCCCCTGGTACCCTTTTCCACATGCTTTCGTTGAATTTGGTGTCGCTGATCACCTCAATTATGTCGCACATGTGCTCCTTGACAAAGAATCCAACTCCCCCCTCCCCTCTACTCTTGATTTTCTGTCCTCTCCTCATTTTACCTATCCATGTGTAGCTTCCCACTTCTTTTCCTATTTCTCCCCCGTCCTTCTCCCACGACTCTTGGACTCCGACTATGTCCAGGTCTTTTTCGGCCGCTTGCTCGGCAATTTCGAGTCTTTTACGCTCATCTGTGGCAAATCCGCACACATTCCAAGACCCTATTCTGATTTCCTTACTCCTACTTTCTACTTTCCTGTGCCTTTCAGGATTCCTTTTGTCCCTCATTTGCCTTCCCCTCTGCCTTATCCTATCGCTGCCCCCCCCTTCTCCTACTTTGGCTTGCTTTCCCTTTTGACCCTTTCGGGCCTCCTGCCCCCCTTTGTTTTCAGCCAGCCTTGGGCTACGCCTTACTTCCTGGATCCTATTTGCTATGCACACCCTCCAACCTAGTCTCCTCACCCACGCCGACATCTTCTCTACTTCTAGTCTTTCCCATTCTGCGCTTACTCTCCTTCCAAACGTGATTCTAAAGTGGTTTCCTTCCCTTTCTACCCCCCCCCTTGCGAAGCAATATAATCCTACTTCTTCACATCTACTTTTGAACTCCAACCTTGTCATGTCGCTATTGACCCCAAATATCAACACTACCAGAAGAGGGAGGGGGGGGGGAGACGAGGGGGGTGGGGACAAAGACAGAAGATGATGAGGAGGAAGAAGATGAACCGGGCGCAAGGTCGAGGGGGCGTAAACACACCCCGAAACGCCGCATTTCGGGGTTGGCGTCTGAATGAAAATGGGTATATGCCGGAAAATGTTAGACTGTAGGCGAACGGAAAACACTCCGCACAATTCCGAACTCATACATTTGTATAAATATTTCCGTCGAGCTTGGGAGCTCTTCGTTCACACGCGAGAGGCGTGACGCTATTCCGGGCTTTTTGTGTCATTCATAATTGATTCGAGGATGTCGCGAGTGTGTTGGATGATGATGTGGATATTGATTGTCGTGGTTTATTCTCCATAAGCAACGCGTTCTTGGCACAAATGGGTCCAGGGTTCGCAAGAGAGGATCCCAGCTCGCGCATAGGGTACCCCAATGAACAATGGGTTCCCCACCGCGCGTGGCCCATTTGCTTTATATAGGAATTAGAGTACCGTTACCCCCCACACACCCCAACAACCTGCCAAAGAAGAAAAAGGTACGTAGGTCTCGGATAGTTTTTTTTGGGCGCCCTTGTCCCAGATTGATGGGCCGATTCCCTGTGTGCACTACCGATCGGCTTCTATACACACACAATAACTACCAAAATACCAAGAATATCGCCCCCGTATGATTGAGCGCAAGGATGGTGTGTGCAGCGCAAGAAAGATTACCGCCTGGCCCTGAACCGGCGTCTGCGGTACCCAACGATCAACACCTGCCAACTGTTGATGTGGAGAACTAAGCTATTTTCAATTGTTCCTTCTACAGGAAGTACCAACCATCCAGGCGCTACACTCCCTCGTCTCTAGTCTAATTACTTCAAATGCTATCCACATGGTGTTTCTACATCACAGGGGGCGTCCAACGATTCGCTACATGCCATTGCATCTATCCACCACGACACCTCATATGATTTGAACCTACACAGAAAAAACACGACCCACTATTGCCATTCTTTGTGAAGTTCCCCACACGGGCCTGCTGTGGGTTGCACCATACGGTGGTGCATGCTCTAAGATGTTCTTGCGATGCCCGGCACCACTGTAGGCTCTGCCTTCCAATTTCATTGTTGCCTTTGCTTGGGTGTCGGCGCGTGTACAACTTATCATGCTCACAGCCTCTTCTCGAAAGCGTTGTGCACAGAAGAGGAGTGACTCGACTTCCTTGCCGATGAACGAAGTTAACAAGTGGGAGACATGAGCGAGGCAAGAGAAGCTTGCTCGACATTTACACCATAACCCAAATCATCCACCCGTCGCCCCCCGTGGGCTCCGTAGACATCAGTTCCCCACCGAGTATTCAAACTGTCCAACTATGTGGCGGTCCGAGATACAATCTACGAAAGAGACCCTCTTCACAATATGCCAGGTAACACGGCAATCCCAAATGTTACAAGTCAGTATCCAAGAACCATCCATCGTTCAAATCCAAAGGATATATACGCGAATCATCTCCAATTCCCGAATCTATCGCACATGCAGATGGTAACGAAATTGATGGGACGGCATAGTGCTCAATGATACGCTATGCTCGACTGGTAAAATTGTGTTGACACATAAACGTACAGTCATCGGTATTCTTCGGCGCGTAGCTGTGTCACCTATTATACACAGAGTCAGTTGTGCCACTGTAGTGTACCACTCAAATTGAAATCAATCCTTTGTTAAACACAAGTTTCAATCAACTCATTGGTCGGTTTCGAACAAGCTTCGGAAGCAGCACGTAGGCTTCAACCATCCATCCATATCCTTCCATGTCTTTTCAGAATCGCCAAATTCTTCCTCCATGACACCTCCCAGAAAAAGCCAATACGGTGAAACGACCAAGGTTGAAACCCTAGAGTGCGTGCACTAAACGCTGAAGGAAACCTTTGCCGGTGTGCTACCATTTCTCCAACAACGAAACAAATGAATATATTGTAGATATAGGTAAACAGCCCCCGTACTATCTTCTTCCCAAGCATGAAACCACACTCATCCAACTACCTCGCCGTCTGAATCGCACGAAACTACAAATTCTCGAACCTCAATATTCGAACCCCAACGTAATAGGTGGATTCATTCTGTCCCGTGTCAATTGCGACACAACACCACGACACCGCATGCAAACCCTCAGCCCTCACCATTATAATTCTCAAGAAAAAAAGTACCAAGTCGAGCTGTGTATCCGCACGGTCCTTTCTGCTCCACTGAAAGCTCGTAATACATCGCCTCGGTTTCGTCGACGCACACCAAACATTAAGGGCATTCCTTGATGGCGTGTAGACATTATCGTCATGAAGAACTCCCCCTCTCTCTCTTGTTCCTTCCCGCGCAATCATTACAGGAACATTTTCTACCCACAGGTGGACTGCCATTTCTGGAACACAACGATTGCGCTACAGCACTTGACCAGCCATACCGTTGATCTGTACTTTGGCACAGCTACTCGCGCTGTGGTCGAGGATTTAGTTGTCATCCATGGCATAGATGACTGACTTGAGTGAGCGCGAATTGCTTCGAGGCACATAGCACGACATCGTTGGTTGCTGCATGCGTGCAAGAGCCCTTTCAAGTTCAGAGACACCTGGGTGACTTTTCATGCAGAGTGGGGCTTGCGAAGACCGTTGGTCACGTCTTCTGCATAGGCGGCCGCGTTGCGGACGAACATTTTACACCATCTCGCCCCCCAAGTCTTTGGGAATGTAGAGCCCGGCGACCTCGGCTGTCTTCGCAGATGGCAGGTCGCCAACAACACACCGGAAGGAGCACGTCGACAGAAATCAAGCAGACACAGGGATCAGATGGTTTGACTTCACAAGTAGGCCCCGAAGGACAAAACAGAAGCTGAAAAAATGTGTCGGTGTTGTTTTCGACGAGCAAACCCAACCCGTCTGAACCTGAAGCCCTTGAACAATCCGTACCGCTCTTCCTGTTAACAACGGATGTAAGAAGCGAAGACATCCTCAGCTTGGAAGCTGGTGCATGGTACGGATGGACAGCTCCAGAGGCACAAACACCACGGGTACATTTCGTTTTCGTCTGCAGTACAGGATCGCCAGCAAGAATCCCAGGTTTTCAAGGAGTACGTGTGATGAACGATTACGTAGGGAAGTAGGAAGAATGAAGCCTTGGCAATTGATTCGTCCAGTGCTAGGAGCCGCGACCGAGACTTCAACAAACTTCTGGTTTTCGTTCTGGATATTCTCAAGTGAACTGGAGACGGCACCAGAACGGGAGCGTTTATGATCCCGCATGCTGATTTGTCTGCATTCCATAGTCATCCCGCAAGGCTATGACAGCATCGACAATATGTTGCAGTGGGACCTACCGCCGCGCCCACCTGTGTTTGGTCGTTCCGGGCGCCACGGCAGACACCCACCCGGCACGCCGCCATGGACTCGACCACCCTGCCGTGAACGACAAGAATACCAAATACATCAGAGATGTCGTTCCGCGAGGTTTGGTGGTGGACTGGAGAGTAACTCTGCGCAAAATCGGCAGGTTTCACAGACGTGTGTGCCATGCCCAGGTGCTATAAAAATACAATTCTCACACCTGTTCTGCGATAGTGGGCGCATGAAGCTACATCCCAATAGCTACCTACGGCGGATCGATACGCATATTCGCATAGGTTTCCGGTTCTACCGTGGAGGCCGATATGAGTTAGCTGCTTGCGACGGCCGTGCTTCAACACACACACGTTGACAGACTTCCATGTACACCCAACATCGTCCGCTCCGTACTCGCTTGTACCTGTTGGCAAAAGGCGTGAGGCGCACCACAAGAACGAGCTGCACCACGTTCAACCCCAGGAAAATCAGCAGTTGCACCTGGCTGTTGTCGATCAACACTTCGACGCCCGCTATCACAGCTGCCTGTGAAGACGGGGGGATCATGCATGTGTAGAACGGGGATCACACGGGACGACGTTTACTTTGCAGTAGGACGCAAGAACGGCGCTAAAAGGGTAGAGACTAACAGAGGTGAACAGCGATAACTACTGTGTGCGTATGTCTACGCTATGTGCCAGGGCGTGACGAATCTATCCAGGCGCGCACCTCCATTAGAGCGTACACTGCAAACCAGGACCCAGCCTTGGTATAGTCCACAAACAGCGGCTCGAAGCCGATGCGGAACCAGTTCCTCAGCCTCTGCTCCTTCGTGTCTTCATTCTCGACAGTCCTCCACGCGCCCTTCTTGGCCCACGCGAACGCACTGTGATCCTCCTCCAAACCTGGAGCAAAGGGAGAGGTTCAGCCGAACGGAGGGGCAGACCGACGTACAACGATAGAGCGAATGCGGTGTTGTCGTGTTTCCCGACTCGTCTCTAGTGGACGGAGAACGTGAAACGTACAGAACATCTGTTGGTGGTGTTTTCTGTTCTTGAACTGAGCGGTGCAGGCACGTGCAAGTGCTACCGGAGTCGGAAATATAGAACGACACCACGAGTGATAGGATTTTCACTGCCAAGCCAAAGCTTCGTGCGAGCAAAGAGCTGATGCGCACGTGCAAGTGCTACTGGAGCCGCCGCCGGAACGACGACTGATAGGATTTTCACCGCAAGCCAAGGCTTCGCGCCAACCAAGAACTGCGCACGTGCAAGTGCTACCGGAGTCGCCGCCGGAACGACGACTGATAGGATTTTCACCGCAAGCCGCCGAAAAACAGCGGCTTCGTGCGAGCCAAGAACCGAACACGTGCAAGCGCTACCGAGCGTCGTCGGACGGAACGATACTTCAATGACTGATAGGATTTTCACCGCAAGCCAAACAACAGGCTTCGTGCATGCTGCAGCATATCAATAGCGGTGTCACGGGCTCATCTCTTTCCCAGGTAACAAGGTTTCTTGCCTACTGTACCTGCTTTGTTTTCCACGCGCTTTCCCCAAAGGCAGGCAAGGCAGGCAAGGCAGGCAAGGCAGGCAGGAAGAACTAAACTATCGTAACCGTGCGTGCGACCGAGCGAGGAGCAAGTATGTACACAGCGAGCCGTCTGCCTGCCGAGGAATCAATCTAATACAAGCTGCACACACATCTCCTCGACATGTGCCAAGAAATCAGAGGTCCTGATTTCGACATCTGCCCAGAAATCAGAAACCAGAAACCAGAGGTGGTCGGCCGATCTCGACATCTGCACAGAAAGATTAGAAATCAGTCTCCCTCTCTCGACATCTGCCGGGAAACCAGCCTGGGTCCATCTCTCGACGAAACTCCGTACTCTCTGTCTGGTCTAATACAAGTAAATGTATTGTAGAACTTGGACCCCCCCCCCGAGCTCTCGCCTTTTGGTGGTAGTGCCTTGTCGTCCTCTTCTCGGAACGGAAGGTCGGGTCGTCGGGGTGGGGGCCGGGCGGTGGAAGGTCGTGACTCGCTTGGTCTTTGCCACGAGCGGCACGGTACAAGGACGGCTCGACCTGCTGTCGGAAGGGTGGCAAAGAGCACAAGGGGCGAGGGGAGTCGGTACCTGCTGCGCTCATTGGCCTCAACGCCGATTCGAAAGAGCGAGCCTACCTCGGCGCCGAGAGCTTGCTCTTGTCTACATGTTGAAACGACGCCCGGTAGTATAGAGAGACGGGCTCTCTCTCTGGCTAAGAGGAACGACCATACATCTATCTCTACACCCCAGGCTAATTGTTTTTTCGGCCTTTGGGGAAAATGCGTGGATGCAAAGGCCAAGGCAAAGCTATCGTAACTGCGTGCGAGCAAGTGGTACAGAGAGCCCGCCGCAGCCTGCCGATAGATCTACAGTCGCATCAGTCCCAGGCTTGATATACAACCCCCCCTCGCCTTTTCTTGTGTTACCTTGTCGTCCTTCTTGTTCTTCTCGTATCGTGGGGACTTGCTTGGCCCCGAACGACAACTTGTTTGAAGACGCGATGGTGGTTGGTGGTACAAGAACGGCTAGACCTGCTGTAGATGTAGAAAGCAGGCCCGACACATCGGGTTATACCCCGGTCAATAGACGACTCAGCGGGTGCATCCTGTCGACCAACAACGTGAAATGAGCCGATATGATTGGTCGACACACACTTTCTCACCCTGTGGTGTCGCTAATAAAGCCCTGGGTTACCCTGCCGTGACTACTTTCTTCTTCTTCATTTGTACCCTACATGATTCTTTCAGGTGTACCCTGCCCTGACGGGAATTCAGACCCCATCATCCGCCAATTTGTCTGCAGGAGTCTCTTCCCGCGCCAACCACAAACTGCTGTAATTTTTTTTTTCAATTACCGCGCAGCATTCCGAAAGAGTTCAACAGCAGAGTTGAAACAGCAGTGATGGGTGCATGTGTGGGCAGAGACACACACTCACACGGCGCATCACCATGAGGCAAACGTTCTCCACACGTGCTACAGCAGCACGGCTGCCTAGTCGTACAGACGACACAAGAGCAGTGGCCGATGGCACCGCCATCAACGCTTCGCATGCGAGCCAAGAGACTCCACTTTTTTTTGTATGGGCTTGCTTGCTTGTTGTTGCTGTGTTCGAGACGGCGGACAGAACGATGCAATGACTGATAGGTTTATTGTATTTTTCCGAAGTGTCATTTTTATTATTATTTTCCACGAAGTCTGGAAGGTAACTCTCTGGTCAATAACGAGGGGACGACACCGGTCGCTTCCCTCTCTCCTCCAGAGTCCAAGTTCCCCTTCCATGTCAACTGGCAGGCCCTAACAAAATGCCGTCTCAGTACACCGAGATCCCCAATGGTACTCCATACCATTGACATCCACCTCCCCAATCGGACCCTCGGAACCCAGTTCCCCGTGGAATAAAAGCAATCATGAATCGACATGTCCCCTATATATGTATCCTCCTACACATACCTTAGTTATCCCCACGCCCCCCCCGGTGTTTGTCATCGGGGTTGGGTTTTCGTCGCTTGGCAACGACGTTGTAAAACAAGCCCCCCCCTCGGTGTTTGCCATCGGGGTTGGGTTTTCGTCGCTTGGCAACGACGTTGTAAAACAAGCCAATTCACTTCGTGAACTCGGCAACCAGGTTACCGTTTTTTTTTTTTTTACCTCGGTTTTTTTTTTTTTTGGCGGTAACCGTAATGGTGGTCGAGTAGATCATGTTGTGCGGGGTCGAGAAACCTCACTCTGCGCAACGGGGGATGATCGTACCACGTTGTGTTAAAATGGTCAAGCATCCTCGAGGCAGTTACACAGTGCTTACAACTGTCTCTGGAAGTGAAAGCACCAGAAAATAAATTAAGTCATACGTAGCTGTCATCCGTACGCAAGGAAGTAAGCACAAGATGCCGAACACCCTTAGCAGGATGCTGCTCACCCTTCATGCGACTCGCCAAATACCTCACGGCGC